TTTTAAAATATGAATATCGAAGATATATGATTATCGTAATACTCGTTTCTTTGAAAAAATCAACTTGATACAGATAGTAATGTTTCATTAATTCAGGCGCTCCGTATAAAAAGTATAGTATTTGGTAGAATTCACCTAAATTTTCGAAGAAAATGGTGAGTATAAGTTTAAAAATGAGGTTTTTGTAGCTCTTCCTCAAACTCTAATAACCGGAGTCAAAGTTCAGAGAAGGCAACGGTTATTGGTTAAGTTTCCACAACAACCAAGGACAACAGACATCAGACTTCTTAGTAATGGAAAAAGGTGCTGAATGGGATTAACACAAAACTTAGACCGTTCTAAAATATTTTAAAGCCTGGCTTAAAATTTAAATTGCTGAAATGAGTTTGTGAATGTTCTAAATAGTGTAGTTTTAGATTTTTGTGCAGATAAAAATTTATATTAAAGATGTCAAGAACGTTGCATAATGATACACTGATTTATTTCAGTCATCATATAATCAATATAAACAAGCATGAGCTAATCAAGTTATAACTTTGGGGAATAATCAATATTAGCATTTCTGAGTTTATTGAGATATATAATGGATATATACAACAAGCTTATTTGTTAGTTAAATTAAAGAAAAACCGGAATATGGAAATGAAAAACAATGAGCGAATAACAATAAGACCAATAAAAAATCGAGCGTCCGTAAAAGAAAAGAAAAAATTCGGGTTCGAAGCGCAGAAATAAATAATACAGATCATTTCTCTGGTGATCGATTATCATTACCAAACAACTATAATCTGCTAGAGATTTTTCACTTCAAGTATTTTGTATTAGTATAATAGAGTTGAAGAACATATGTGAGTTCAACACATTAGTCCCAAATGACCTCCGCTGACAAGTCTTTTTTTCTTCTATTCAAATAACCGTTTGCATTTAACATACACACACACACACACAACATTCTTGCTAAAACTTTCTATTGACTATAATGTAGAATAATGGATTTCCTATTTTAATAGTCTAGTGTAAATAAAGTATTGTTTATCAGCTTTTAGTATAATACAACATTTCATTTTCATATTCAAACAAATGGAATAGAATGATTTTAATAAATTAAAATAAAAGTTTGTTGTTTTTCTACAGGCTATCCGGAAAGTTATTTACCAAAAAAAGAAAGAAAGAAAGAAAGTATTGTGTATTTCTTACGCATTTCAACCAACTGAGTTAATTTTGTTCTTGATCATAGAAAAAAAAAAGTTTTAAGTTTTTATTCATAAATATCAGCAACTTTTTAATACACTTGAAATCAAGTACAATCTATTTCCATACAGAAGTTAACTGTTTCTTTCGATTACTTTCATTGAATTGTCAATCGTAAAAAATACAATGTTATCCAAAGTTTTCTTTAGCATATTCTATTTTGTAGAGCTTTTTTTTCGTTGATTGTTTTTGTTGTAAGAGAAATGTTTGATATCCTGGGGCAATTCGATATTTTCCAGTAATTTGATTTTAACATCGTTATTTGTTCATCAAAATAGAAATATTTTTTTTTTCTCAAGAATGATTATCACAAAAAGCACTGTTAGATGGCATATGTCAAAAAGGTTTTAGATACTCTTGTATTTTTATAATTGATTACTCATGGCAGAAATAAGGAAGTCATGTATTCAAGGCATTTAGGAAAGCCTTGTGTAATTATGTTCAGCTAGTGAATATGACTTTAATTCAAATGTCGTTCTATTCAAAAATATTCCAACTACAAACTGACATATTCAACATGAATTTTTCTGTATTAGAGTATATTATCATGTCTTTTGTGGATGCAATACCTTAAATTGTCTTGATTTGCAAGTCATCGCGTTCTAGACAAATAATATAATACTTCTAAATGTAGAAAAATTCTTATAGAATATACCATTTTACAACTTGAAAAGTACTGATATTTAAATTAGAACCATGTTCTTTAGCTAAAAATAATTACAGAAAAGTTGCTAAATGATTTGAGAAAATGACTTGTTCATCTTTGACTCCTAGAGAAGTAGCTGTATGAAAAATTAATTGTAGTCGTCTGGCTTCTTGAGCAATTTTCTGTATAAAAAGTATTGGGAAAGAATCTTACGAAGTATTGGAGAAGTTGAATAGGCTACGTAAAAACTTAAGTATCCCAAATCAATTATTTAACAAATTGAGGAAATTTAAAAACATTAAGCCATTTGAATAATATTACAAAAAGAAAAACTGAAAATCTATCGTTTATTTTTATCAAAAACTGTCAACTAGATATTATTAGTTTTAAGTGATCTTACTTAATTTTTTGCTTATAAAAAAAAAATACTTGACATTCTACTTAGCTCATTTGATCAAAATATGTTGAAGATAATTATAGAAAATTCTTTTTGTCAAGTACATGACGTGTCGTACACTACGCACATCGATTCCTTTGATATTTCTCTACTTCTAAACTTTTTAATAAGTAATTTTATTGATAATAAATATATTGTTTAGACTCCTCAAACATGGCAAGATCGTTGGGAAGGTCCAACAGATTCTATGCAGTATTTACGTGTTGTTGTATCAAAAGCTAAAGCTATGCAACAAATAGCAACATCAATAAAAGATCGTGATATATTTTCTCAAACAATTAATTTATCTGATCTATTTCGTCCTGATACATTTTTAAATGCTTTAAGACAACAAACAGCACGAGAAACTAAACAACCTATGGATACCTTAATATTAAATACATCATGGTCAGGTGAAATTAAACATGGAAAAAATGTATCAATTAAAATCAGTGGTTTACAATTAGAAGGTTGTTCATTTGATAATGGACGTTTAAGTGAAAGTGCACCGGATTCACCAAGTATTACATCATTTCCATCATGTTATATTGCTTGGATACCACAAGTAAATATGTTGTTTCTATTGAAAAATATTTATATTATTAATAAAATTTTCATTGTAGGATGTTGCCCAACAAGAAACACGTGAAACAATATCATTACCAGTTTATTTTAGTGCAGCTCGTGATAAAATTGTAACACGTCTAAATGTTCCATGTAGTAGTGATAAAGACAAATGGCTCCAATGTGGTGCAGCTCTTTTTCTTAAGAACGTTTAAATCACAAAAAAAAAAAGAAAGAAAGACTAATGAAAATAGTGTTTTATTGTATTTATATTTTGTTGGTATTTTTATTGCTTATATCAATATGTTTATTAATAAAGAAAATCGATGATGGAAGAAATAACTTCGTGCTTATATTTTATGATAAAATTTAATTATTTATAACGAATTCATTGTTTTATAAACGATAAACGGAAAGAAACACTAATAGAGATTGAATTAGATAATAAGTAGAAAAACTTTCGATAGTCAAGTATATCAAGATTTAATTCAGTTAAAAAAAAAGAAATCAATTAATAATTGCTTTAATAATTTGAATATTTCGTGACATATTTCTATTTTCTTAGATTTAGCTAAGATAATAAATTAGATAAATGAGTTGTTCTAGTAGTTTTCTTTTTTCTTTCTTGTATCATTTTAGTCAATTATCATTCGAAAATATAGATAATAATAAAAAAAAAAGAAGGCATCACTTAATGAGACGTGACAAGTTTCAAGCACGATCTTCGAATACAAAGTTAAATAACTAATCATTTTATGATTTTGATGACAAACTGTGTCATAGAATGCGTTTCGAATGAGCGGAAGTTTCTTTTCTTCTCCGCCCAGTTACATTTCTTTCTTTCGACATACTTTTTCAAACTATGAGCAAAAAGAGAAAGAGCGAAGAAGAGAGAGAAAGAATACAGAGAAACTAATAAGAAAGATACAAAAAGGTCCGGAAATGCTATTTTCTCTCGCTTTATATATATTTGTATGTCGTTATTCTCGTTTTATTCTTGTGGTGTTTGACGTTCAAAATAATAAAACAACGAAGAAGGATATAAACGATCAACGACTGCTGGTCAAACTTCAGTGACAATCTTATTTTTAACATTATCCAAGTCTTCTGATGATTATAAACATGAAATTTGTTCACAACAATTGTTTCTTTCTCTTTGCCATCATTATCGTAAGTAATTAGTTATTTATTTTTTTGTATAGAAAATAAATTATATGAATTTTTATTCAAATTATTAAAATAAAATGAGTTGAAAATAATAAAACCATATTCAGTTTGTAATACTTATGTTTATAAATTTTCTTTTCCATTTGACTTATTTTTCGAGTTTCAATGTACTGTTTTCTAATTTTTATGAATGTCAATTTAGTTAACATATCGATAAATAATAGCAAAAATCGGCAGGACGGATGCTTCCGTCCCATTTCTTTTTTTATTCATTGTACTAATTTCCGCTTGAAAACGGTATTGTTTTGTTACTTCCTGAATATTTCTATATTAGTTTATTTTTATTTTCATGATAGATTGGCAGTCAACTATTATTTATTTGCACCGAAAGTTCAACAGTAAATATGGATTCCAATTCTCTTGAATTAAACAAACGTTATCGATTCGATAAAAAAGATACAACAACAACATCAATCGATAGTAATGAATCAAATGATAATGACAACAATGATGATTATATTCTATTATTGAATAAACGATATCGTTTTGATAAACGTTATCGATATGACAAAAAACGATCGAATTTTGATGGTATTAACAAACGATATCGTTTTGACAAACGTTATCGATTTGATTAAAAAAATTTTCATCAAAATAATGGAAATAAAAATCGAAGACACAGTATGATAAAAAAAAAGTCAAAATATAAGAAAAAAAAAAAAAAGAAAAATTCACAATCATTTCCGTCTTTGTTAATAATACACATACTTCTATATTGATATGTTCTGCAATTTGAATACAATATATAATTCTCTATCTCTATTTGTTTCCTGCTGTGTAAACCTGAAAAAAAAAAACAAAAGACCACATATTGTTTTTTTCTTAATAGATCATAGAAATATTACGAAGAGTCTTATAAGAATAAAGAAAAAAAAGTCACACTTCGTCTTCAAAGTGGATTCGTGTTGCATGATATTGTTTTAGACATGAAGACGGAGAAGATGAGTGTACTTTCGATTGTTCATTAGTACTAGCAATTACAGTCGTTGGTGACAATTGAGTTGAAGAAGAAATAGAACGACGTTGAAGAAAAGGAGAATCAGGAGGATGTTGAGAAATAGTTGTATTTTGTGATGATGTAAGTGGAGTTGTGGATATTTTATGTTCTTCATTATCAATCGTAGAAATTTGCCGTGGTGACTCCGTAGAAATACCACTAAAAAGAGCTTCTATATTTTCATCATCACGTGTTATTTTACATGTCGTCATTAATAATATTCCATCAACAATTGATAAAATAAAAGCAATCCAAGCAATTATAGTTGAATAACCAATTTCAATGTTAATACTTGATAGAAATCGATTAATAGCTACTTTTGTATCTTCTGATAATTTATAAATTTGACTTGATTTATAATGTCTTTCAATAGCAAATAAATATTCAGTTGATTCATATTGTAAATAACTTAATACAACTAATAAATTAGTTAAAATAAATATCATAGAAAATAATGATGATAATACACCAAAACATTTTACTTGTAAACGTTGATAACGTGTCTTAAGAAATGGAAATAAACTGTAAAGAAAAGCAGTTAAAGATAAATTAATCAATGCAATTATTCCAAGTACATGACATGCTTTAATATATAGTGGATAATGACAATCACATGAAGATGCTGATACAATATTTAAACGCGAAGTTAATGAGATATCAAATGTTGCACGAAGATAATCATTACCAATATCAAAATTTTTTTCACCTTTTTTTGAACAAAATCGATAATATTGTAAACTATGACATTCATTAAAATTTTGATCTTCATAGGATGGTAAAAAATTTTTTGTACATGTTTTATGGTATTTATTTAAACTCATATGGAAAATTTCATTGGGTTCATTAATAAATTTTGATGCATTATTTAAAAGATATTCACATCGTTGAAATAAACCATAAGAATGACGAGTAAAACGATGAACAGAATTGAAATATATTAAAATATCAGTACGAATAAGAGCATCAACACCATCGACATATAATGAATGAGTATTGGGAGAAACTTCTTTCCAATGTGGTGTAAAAAAAGCAACACATTGAAGTCCAATTGTAACTAATGCAAGAACAACACCAATAATAATACCAACAGTTAAATGTATGTTACATAAATGTATTCTTCTGTGAAGTAGACTTTCTTTTCTTGGTTTCGGGCGAATACCATACATCAAAATGCTGTTGCTACGCTTTCCTAACATCTGTATTCGTTGTATTGTCAATAAACATCTTTATGATAAATATCACAATGATATGTTACTGGTGAAAATCTATTTAAAAAAAAAAGAAATATTATGTGATACAACGATGCCAATATTTTTTTATTCTATGAAACGAGGAAAAAATTCTTGTTTTTATTGTTATTGTCTATAAAGCTTTTCAACATCTGAAAACATAAAGTAATGTTGACACAAAACTTAAATGTATTCAATTAAAAATGAGTTATATTTAATTGAGTAATAAAATAATTTAAATGAGCAATAATGAAATTTAGCAGTAAATCTACTGCATGGGCAATAATTATATTGAATGAGCGATAATTATACTGAATGAGCAATAAATATATTCAATGAACAATAAATATATTGAATGAACAATAATTTATTTAAATTAAAGATAAATCTCATTTAAAAAGGGGCAATATGGATTGATTTTGTTATGCACATTCCAAGGATGTATTATAAGAGAGAGTTGTTTTATACTATACATGTGTATTTTTGGTCTCTTTCTTTCTTTCTATACATATATATCTACGTCTTTCGTTATCTTTCTTTCTGTCAGGTAGGAAGTTGCACCTGGTTTTCTGGATCCGACTAATGAATCGTGAGCCATTCTATCATCCCGAATACTGAACTGTTATTCGAGTACACATTTTGTAGAGCAATGTTTGTTCTTTCAGACTATATGATTAGAACTGTACAAGAGTCATTCATAGCCAAAAGCTTTTAAATAAAAAGGTCTCGATTCATCGTTTCGGGTTTGACCGGGTCCAAATATGGGCCCGAACCTTTTTATTTAAAAATTTTCGGCTATAAACGGCTCTTGTACAGTTCTAATCATATAGTCTGAAAGAGCAAACATTGCTCTACAAAATGGATATTCGAATAACAGTCCAGTATTCGGAATGATAGAATGGTTCACGATCCGTTGGTCGGGTCCAAAAAAACCCAATGCAATTCCCTACTATCAGGTACATTTCCATAGTGCTTTCTCTGGGATTCTTCATTTCTTTCTTTCATATGATCATTCAGCTATATTCCATTTGTATCATATCTATCCCTAGTATATTTCGTCATCTCAGATATATATCTACGTATGTGATAATAGGGAACCTCTTATTTTTCGGAAGTAAACAGCATATACACAAGAACATATTACGGATCTAACACATTTATTTATACAAATACGTAAGAAAAAGAGGTAAATCATTTAAAGCAAAAAAGCTTTATTGACACAATAATATACTATATTTTTCATTTTTCTTTTTTTTTCTTTTCAGTTGTAGCTAAAACTAATGTAGTATTTTTTTTATTGCTAAAATATGAAATTACTATTGTTATTTAACGAATTAATTATTGTCCATTTAATAATATAAAATTTCTCAAACAAAGTATTTTTATTGCTTACAAATTATTGCTAAATCATATTTTAATTATTACTCAAATAAATACTAGCCATTAACAATTGAATTAGTCGAGAACCTATGCAGCTAGTGATCTATAGTTTTCCGTAATTGAAAAAGAAGATATAGAGAGATCTTTTTCTTCGATAATATATAAGATGAAATCATTTTGAAACCAATGATTTTAGCAAAACATTCAAAAAAACAGTATATGAAAATAGTCTGTCATTACAATGAAATTTTGATGACAAATGAGAAAATTTGCTTAAAAAAAAATAATAAAACTCCATACTATTTAATCAAATAGATACACAATTTTATTTGTTCAACATGAAAATGTGAGAAGACGATCACTCAAAGTGTATCTTGAAATATAGATCTCATGTTCGTCAATCTAAGCGACAAATCGAAATTAAAATTTCATCGAAACGAATTCATCATCTTCATACAGGTTTTTTTGAATGTTTTGCGAAAATAATTGATTTTGTCCTATTTAGTATCGAAGAAAAAAAAATATCCTCACGTCTTTTCTTTCGATTACTAAAAATTGCAGGTCACTAGTTGTTTGCATTCTCGACTTATTCAATATTTAACTGAATATGTCCAAATCTCACACCGACATTAGTAGTTAATTATAATTCAACTGTCATCAATTGAAAAGTCTTTAATCGAAATAATACATGAGACTGATAATAGTCAAGTACTCAATAAGACATTCGTTTTTTGTTTTTAGAAGTAAAATATTGACTTTATGAGAAATATTTTCGAATCAAATTTGCATTATGATTTGTCTTTCGTGTTTAAACAAATATCCATAATTTATGTGTTTTTTTTACAAATGTTCTTGGCATTTTTATACTTTACGAACTTGACAAAGTTTTGGTTTTGCGTTACCATTTTTCATTCGTCAGTCAAGTCTATGCATACAAAAGAAAAGAAAACAATTTTGTTTTTTTATTATTCTTTTTCAATATGTTATACTTTCTTCTAACTATGCTGACCTACCTTCGTGCCAACATTATCTTGTTGTATTGTTCTTTTCTTTTTGTTTTGTTCAGTAAGTCTAATGTTGAATATTAATGATATCTTTGTCTTTATTCGTAATAAAAGAGTGCTTTCAGACAGTCACTAATTAGTTTTTTCTTACACCTGATCGAGCTACAGTACATACACGCGTAGCTCGAGACAGAACAGCAGTATAATGTTTGTGGTCGTGTTGGCAATAGCGATAAATGAAGTTTTCATCACACCTAAACTACCTGTACTTCGTTCTTACTATTCACGTTCTTTTTCGGCCCTTTTTTTCGTGCTAGCCCATTCTTTTCTTTGAGCCGACAAAACGAAAAAAAAAAAGAAAAAAAAAAGTGAGAAGAGAGAATTTTCGTTCTTATGTCAGAAAAAAGATGCGTAGACAAATAAGAAAAAAAATCATTTGATCATATTTTTCGAACAAAGGGGTTTGATAATCTGATCATCGAAAGAAAAAACATTGTTGACGATGTCAATATATACAAGGATATTTATCTATGATTTTTTTTTCTTTTTTCTTCCTTTCATTTCACCTGTGTTTCTTTTCATAACCTTCTGTACGTATTCACATTTCAGATTTGATTCAGATGAGCGCTGATCACAAATTGATAGATTAAAAACCTCTGACTACGTGAGATATAGATAAGTGTAGAAAAAAAAAGAGATCTGTTAACTAATATTTTATATATAGAACAGATACAGAACTCGATTGATTTTTGTCAGATTCTCATAGTAAATGTTCGAACATTTTGCATTTTAAACGTTTACACATTAACTTATCAGTACGTGAAATATATTCATTATTGACTTTCATATATATGCATATACAAGCATGATGCAATCATGTTTCTACTATTTCAATACTGACCTTTTCTCTATCAGTCATGTTACCGAATCAATTATCATTGAAAAAAAAAAACTATTAAAACAAAATTGGTAATGATTGTTATATCAAAAAAAAAGGAATATTTGGCATTTGTAGATGTGATATGTTTTTCATCATGGATATAAATAATTTGAAAAAGGGTATTGGGTTGATTTTTTTTTATCAAACAATATGAAAGCACCTGTTCGAAACATTCGATTAAATCAAAATTGTAGTCATCAGCTGATATGTAAATGATATTTATCCATGTCAATTGTAAAATAAATAAGGAAATATAAGCTGTCGATCATTTTTATGAACTAGAGCGATAAGATATCATTACTTGTTTTTATAATGCATATCAGAGTAAAAAATCAAACGATTGTTTTAATAAATTTCCGCGAAGTTGACTGCATTTTATATTCATTTATTTTTGATTACATAACACTTTTTTATGCATTTTTGTAAAGAATTTTTTTTACATTTTTTAATTCAATAATTACCATATTAATAAGTATACACATAATACTAAATGCATCCAAAAAAAGCAGTATAAATTCATAATAGAAAAGCTAATTGATATTCATTTCGTTGGACATGGTATAAAAAGACATACTTAAAGATTTTATATACAAAAAAAAAAAAAGTATGCATAAAAAAATCTTTGTTAAACGAAGCAAATCCATTTCATTCTACTCTACTGGTAATCAATAGTTAATATTGTACAATAGAAAGATGAGTGTATAATTTGACACATTACTATTCATAGATTGATGATATGAAAGAAAGAAAAACAAAGTTTTACGTCCAACTATAGTAACATTATATCGTGTAGTTGTCTTCATAATGAGGGTGCTATAATATTTCGAAAAGACTAGTATTTATTTGAGCAATAAAAATATTGGAATCAGCAATAATTAACATACGTTTTAGCAATAATTTGTGAGCAATAAAAAAAACTTTATTGAGCAGTTTTATATTATTAAATGTACAATAATTAATTCATTAAATAGCAGTAATAATTTCATATTTTAGCAATAAATAAAAGAAAAACTGTATTATTTTTAGTTACAATCGAAAATAAAAAAAAGAAATAAAAAATATAGCATTTTATTGGGTCAATAAAACTTTTTTTCCCTGGGCGGTCTGCCTCTGTCTCTTACGTACTTCTATAAATAAATGTGTTAAATCCGTAATATGATCTTGTGTATATGGTGCTTATTTTCGAAAAATAAGATCCTCCCTGTTATCACACACATGCAGACCGGTATCTGAGATGACAGAATATACTAGGAATAGATATGATACGAATAGAATATATCTAAATGATCACTTGAAAGAAAGAAATGAACAATCTAAGAGAAAGCAATATGGGTATATATCTGACAGTAGGGAGCTGCACCAGATTTTCTGAACTCGACCAGAGGATTTTGAGCGATTTTACTTTTTGGAATACTGAACCATGCTTCGAATATACATCTGTGGAGTAATGTTTCCACTTTCATATAATGTGATTATAACTGTACAAAAGACATTCAGAGTTGAAGGATTTTGAATAAAAAGGTTGGAGTTCATATTTGGACTCCATCAGACCCGAATGTATGGATCTGGATGTTTTTTATTTGAAAACCTTCAGCTTTGAATGGTTGTTGTAC